ACTAATATGTATATATATATATACATAAAGTGCAGTGGCTATACTTCAAGATACTAATATGTATATATATACATAAAGTGCAGTGGCTATACTTCAAGATACTAATATCTATATATACATAAATTGCAGTGGCTATACTTCAAGCTACTAATATGTATATATATATACATAAAGTGCAGTGGCTATACTTCAAGATACTAATATGTATATATATACATAAAGTACAGTGGCTATACTTCAAGATACTAATATGTATATATATACATAAAGTGCAGTGGCTATACTTCAAGATACTAATATCTATATATACATAAAGTGCAGTGGCTATACTTCACGCTTTATACAGAGGAAATGATAGAACCCCCACCCCCAAAATATATCATTAGTCTTTGTGTAGAGAAGGTGCTCCGTATTACCGCCATGTTTTGCCAGAAAAATAAATCCATAGTTGAAAGGAATTTACTGTAACATTATCCGAACTGTAAGCAAGGGGCGTGTGATTGTTCTAAATTCGTGCTCCAAGTTGTGTTAATTACTTCACATTCTAGAAGTCAGTTGCAATGAAATGTTGTTGTTGTTTTTTTTTAAATAGAATAGAAAGCATTGAATAGGAAGCGAGAATTAAAAAAAAGATGCTTTTTTGAAGAAATGTTGGCAACAAGAGGAAACGAGAAAGATAAGGTTGCCAACAAGAAGAAATACTGATGTTACACCATCTCCTCCTTCATCACAGACCTCTGTCATATAAGTTGTTTTACTTCCACAGTTCTCCATCGAACAACACGTCTTCATTTATTTGGATTCTTTTGATACTTTCACAAGCACTTATCACCAAGATGAGATAGTTTACGCTTAAGACTGGTGGCTCCCTGTAAGATCCCATCCTCTCGAATGTTTTATGTGGATATCTCGATTCACGTGTGTAGTGAAGTTTTATTGTCGGTTTGGGAATTCTATGTAATCTTTATTGAAATACCATACGAAGGATGTCTTTCTAGTCAATGCTGGTTGCAGTGGTTTTTCTGCTCCATCTGCAATAAGAGGACCAGTCTTCTGAAGTTTAAAGAAGCAGCTGGATAATGTTTCTATTGTATTGAAGTACACTACAAAGTAAATTAATTCAATTCTGTATTAAGACTAATAGGCAAACCATTATTGCATGTAGTTATATAATTTTGCCCATTCAAATTGTGCACCCGTCAGAATCTTAAGCGGGACATATTGGATGGCTTATTTCAGCAGGAAAAACCTTTTTTTTTTAGTGAGCGAGTTTAGGCTATGCTCTGTTTTTAGCACCTGGCAACCCGATTATAAAACTGCTTACACTTAAAACGTATTCATGTTTTCTGGTTGTTAACTTTGTATTCAAGCAGTTGCGGCCTGGCATGGCCTGGTGGTTGAGGCGCTCGACTCGCAATCTGCGGGTCGTGAGTTCGAATCTCCGTCACATCAAACATTCTCGCCTTTTCAACCGTGGGGTGTTATAATGTGACAGTCAATCCCACTATTCGTTGGTAAAAGAGTAGCCCAAGAGTTGGCGGTGGACGGTGTTGAATAGCTGCCTTCCCACTAGTCTGTCATTGCTAAATTAGGGACGGCTAGTGCAGATAACCTTCGTGTATCTTTGCGCGAAATTCCAAACAAATAAAATCAAAGTGTTGCACTTATGTTGTTTTATGGTGGGTGTTGAGATGTTATAAGTTACGTTGAACTCCAACATTCCTTGATGGAAATTAAAAGTTTCAATATGTTTATGAGTTTAATAATGTAATATTAGAACAATGCTTAACCTCATCTATTTCTAAAGCCAAGATACTCTTAACAGACTTTGATTTACGGTATTTTAATTAATATATATCTTATTTATATGCTTTATGGGTTATCTTATGTAAGCATTAACCCATTTACATACCTCTCTGTTTCACTTCTTTGTTCAGCAGTCCTGTTTGTTGACGTAGATATCGTAGAACCAAATGAATGGTTACTGACATAGCCTTGATTCTGCAGAGGTTTATGGAATGAGGGGTTAGGGGAAGTGGGCAGAGAGTGGGAGGAAAATGGAGCAACGGGTGATGGTGATGGCCCAAGTCCGCCTGATTGTGGAACATCATGCGTACTGATAGGTGAAGTTGGGAGTGAAAGAGAGGAAATAGCAGCAGTGGGTGAAGTAAGGCGTAATTTAAAGGTCGATTCTGGTTGATTTGTTGCCCACAATGATGCCCCAGGAGAGGATGAATCACTTGGCCGTGCTTCGGATGATTGAACAGTTATGTTTGGTGAACATGTTTCAAGCAACGTTACAACTGGTGGCTTAGTGGTAAGAGAACAGCATTCAGGAGCTTTGGTTGAACACGTCACCACTGGAGAGATGGAGGATATAAGATTTGGTAACTTAGAAGAAAAAGAACAACTTTCAATAGACTGGGATGAACAGGTCACAACTGGTAAGTTGGGGCTTGAGGAAATACCAGATGTCGATATGCCTGGTGGTTTAGAGGGAAAAGAACACATTTCAATAGACTGGGATGAACAGGTCACAATTGGTAAGTTGGGGCTTGAGGAAATACCAGATGTCGATATGCCTGGTGGTTTAGAGGGAAAAGAACACATTTCAATAGACTGGGATGAACAGGTCACAACTGGTAAGTTGGGGCTTGAGGAAATACCAGATTTTGATATGCCTGGGGGTTTAGAGGAAAAAGAACAATCTTCAGGAGCCTGAGATGAACAAGTACCTATGTGTAAGTTGGGGCTTCTGGGTACACAAGGTGTTGATATGCTGGTTAGCTGAGAGGGAAATGAACAATCTTCAGAAACCTGGGATGAATGGGTAACCACAGTTAAGTTGGGGCTATTGGGAGCATGTGTTGCTGATATGTTTGGAGTATGAAAAGTAAAAGTACATCCTCCAGGAACCTGTGAGGAGCAGGTAACAATGGATAAAATGGGGCTTGAGGAAACCCGAGGTACATAAGGTACGCCTCCAGTGGCAGTCACAGTGCAGTGTTTGATGTGATTTCCTGGTGAAGAAGAGCAAATTATTTCTTGTCTAGTAAAGGATGATGGGGGGTAAGCAGGTGAAAAAACTGTGTGAAGATTACTGTGGGTAGACGAAGGGACAGTTGACAGGGGATGGGAAGATGGTCGTCGTGCCTGAGAACACTGGGTGGACAAGGACAACACTCGTAGAGGCAGTTCTGCTTTTGGACTGAAATCAACTGGCTCTGTCTGTTCTAACGGTGGAGGTTGATGAGGATAAATTGGTCGTTGGGCAATTAGCAGCGATGGTTTTTGGGAGTGAAGGTGAGCTATTGATGTTGATGGGCTGAAAATAAGATAAAATGTAATTATTTAACTCTGTTGTTATGTTTACACCTGTAACTAAGAAAAACATCACGTAGTTGTTTTCAAACAAGATTTAAATATAAAATAGTCAAACTTAAATGTCTTTGCATGTGTCCAATTTTCCTAACTTTGAATTACAAAGCTTGATGTAATATCTAGTTGTTGCATCATTTTGAAAATGTAACATTGTATTTACGATTTCTTACCTGTGATGTGGCATTGGTCGAGACGTCATGGTGATGTCATACGATTGTTGGACAGTTACGCGAGATGGAGCTGATGAAAGATCCATCACGGTGTCTGGGCCCTTGGTAGAAAGATTGATGGCTGTGGGGACAGCTTCTTCAAAATGGTATTGAGTCCTGAAAATATCCAATTAAATTTGGTTTTATTGGGGATCAATACATTATTACATTTCCAACTATAAACAAAGCCGAGCATCTGAAGTTTAGGCTTGCACGGACTGCACTTGCCAGGAGTGGACAACGTTTTGGTTTATGCACCAGAAATCAAAACATCATTTTCTACTGTACCCGATGCAGATACAGGTGAAAAAAAAACCACCATCCAGCACAATCTACTTTGCATAAAGCCCCATTAAAATACTAAGCATTGTTTACCTACACATAACCTGGGCCTCTAGATACTAATACACCCTATCTTATCATATACTAAGCATAGAGTGTTAACTTCTCAGATTAACATGTAAACTTTCACACGTTACCTGGGCCTCTAGATACTAATACACCCTATCTTATCATATACTAAGCATAGAGTGTTAACTTCTCAGATTAACATGTGAACTTTGAAAGTTTATAATTATTGGATATTGGTTCAGAATGATAAGTATTGTTATGCATTAATGATGATTAGGCTCTCATACTGGGAGTAATTAGAAAACGCTATTTCTGTAGTAGTGCAACTAGATATCTATAACAATTAACTATAAAAAGGGTCAAAACGTTTTTAAGGAGAACAAAATTTAGTCAAACAAGTCCGAGATCCTAACTCACTATTTTCACACTTTATAGGACTCTCTAATGCTAATTTGTAATACATCACACCAGATATCAATACCCTGACCTGTAATACATCACACCAGATATCAATACCCTGACTTGTAATACATCACACCAGATATCAATACCCTGACCTGTAATACATCACACCAGATATCAATACCCTGACTTGTAATACATCACACCAGATATCAATACCCTGACCTGTAATACATCACACCAAATACCAACACCGTGACTTGTAACA